TATTGGACCCGATGGGTATGAAGCCTCCTATGAGTCTGGCGGCAACAGGCGCGACAATATACAGGCTGCAAGGCACAATCGAGGCATCGGAACTTGGATGCCATTTTGCCGCAATCTACACAGACCATCCCAGGAGGTGGGGCCTCTGTGACAAGAGTTACCTCAAGATGCTTGTCCCTGCGGGCAACCCATTCTCTCAGATAATCGTTCTGGCTCTGGGATCACTGATAAGCAGAAGTTGGAAAGAACAGAGAGATCCACCCACCTTGCCTGACGTTCTCTGGTGAAAAGGGACAGCAAACTCATCAATGACCATTGTGTCTACATCGTGATCGAATTGGGCTTGCTGGCTATGCTGAGCTGGCGCTGACGGTGCATGCAACAGGGAATCAGGAGTAAAGTATTTGATCTTCTGGACGTATCCCCTGGTTGTCTTCTCGTATTTCCCTGTATAGAATACAGGTCCAGGAGGCCGTTTGGATTGGTATCTATGCATGGTGACTAGTGGATGTGTTTATGAGGCAAAGTAATGGTCAAAGTAAGGACGGTGAGGCAATTGCCATGCGCCGAACACGTGGCACAGGCACCATCAGCACATGGCTGCCTGCATAATGCACCCTTGATGCAGGGCACCTGTCAAACAAATAATTGGGCGCAATTGCATAAAAGGTATGGCGCACATAAAAACGCATGATCATTCATATGTTGCACAGACAAATGAAGTCCGGGGGTTACGAAAAGGTTAAAAGCTGACTGTTCGTCAATACCTACGCCCACTTGTGTTACGACCTGACGATATCTGCGCCGTGTTGTTGGCATTGGCGCCCAGCTGTGTGCCTGCGCCCACTTGTGTTACGACCTGACGTGAATGGTGAAACAAAATTATGGCACCTGTCAGATTGGATCGAAGAAAACTTGCATCAAACGGTTTTTGGAGGTTCTTATCCGCAGAGGCGCAGCACCGTTGGTTCGGCATCAAAGGCCATCCATAGAAGATTGGGTTGTGGAAAGCAAGAGGGCATGTTCTAAATCCCCCATCTGCTCAGCAACTCAACCCAATGCAGCATAGCATGCCATTAGTGAGGAGGGACTAGCCAGATGACGAAATTATCACACCTGTCTCAAGCCATGTTTGCTTGTTTGCAATATAAGGCGAGAAAACTTCACCTTGAGATAAGAGCAAAGCCAGCAATTGGGTTGCATCACCAAGCATTTTCGTAGGCAGAGAGCGGATGTTCTAAATCCCCCAATGCAGCACAGGGACTAGCAGAGGACGAAAATATCACACCTGTCAAAAGCATGCTCGGTTTGCAATGTAAGGAGAGAAAACTACACCTTGGGTTAAATTTCCTTGAGACGAGCAATGCCAGCAATTGGGGCACAGCCATAGTGAGATGCTAGCCAGATGACGAGATTATCACGCCTATCAAAAGCCATGTTGGGCTGTTTGCAATGTAAGGAGAGAAACCTTC